ATTGATGGAAGATGCCCAGATTAAAAGGAGATGGCAGACTTACTTTCATAAACTTCTGAATGAGGAAGGGGATCGGGATATTGTGCTAGGCGAATTGGAGCATTCCGAGAGTCACCGTGAGTTTGAGTGCTGCAAGCGCATCAAGGTTGAGGAGGTCGTGGGAGCTATGCGTAAGATGAGTAGGGGCTGATCAACCGGGCCAGACGAGATTCCGGTGGAATTTTGGAAGTGTGTGGGGAGAAAAGGTTTGGAGTAGTTGACTGGGTTGTTTAATGTTTTTTTTAAGGCAAAGAGGATGCCAGATGAGTGGAGGTGGAGTACAGTGGTTCCACTGTATTAGAACAAAGGTGATATCCATAGTTGTAACAACTATAGGGGTATCAAATTACTTAGTCATACCGTGAAAGTGTGGGAGAGGGTGGTTGGAGCGAGGGTGCGGATGACAGTGTCTATATCCGACAACAAGTTTGGTTTCATGCCGGGTCGTTCAAATACAGAAGCTATACACCTTGTTGGGAGGTTGGTGGAACTATACAAAGAGAGGAAGAAGGATCTGCACATGGTGTTTATTGACCTTGAGAAAGCGTATGACAAGGTTCCTAGAGAAGTTCTCTGGATATGCTTGGAGGCAAACCCAGATTTTTTAGTAGTGTTGAATGTTTCCATAATTCAGCCCAATAAGAAGGAAATCAGAAGGAGTTTGTGTTGCGGACAACCAACAAGAGAGAGAAAACTTGACCTCTTTGATAAAAAAGGAACCTTAGTGCTGCGACGAAGATAACTCACCAAAAAAAGACGGCAATGGCTCTGATACCATGTACATTTTGAGAGATTAAAAGGCTTCTTATATTTATGTGTATTTTTACATCCCATGAGAAATAAAATTTATACAAAGCTCCTAATACTAATTGAGGAAATAAAATAAATCTATAAAATCAATCCAGTTATCAAATCAAACCAAATCAAATCAGAATAAAATCAGATCTCCTAAATGTAATCAAATATCCTGAAATCATACTAATCAACACTCCTAAATCAAGTCTCCTTGAATCATGATAATCAATAGATTGTTGTAGCAGTTGTTATCCCATTACTATATCTAGTTTTATCTTCTACATTATAATGAGAAGACGCAAACTACAAGGTAAATCTCTAAAAAGTGATTTAGTAACTAGTATGTTGTTTATCAAATATGTGGATCATGTATCTACAAACTTCTCTTGTACAGATGAGAAAGAAAAGGAGGAAGAGTATATACAGACAGCTTCAACAACACAAATTTGAGAGGAGAAGATGGAAGGGAAGTACATAATTTGAAGATATATAGCTTTGGATAAATATATTGGCAGCCACAAACAACTTCTCGAGTGAAAACAAGCTCGGAGAGGGTGGTTTTGGACCTCCTATTTAAACCATGATATGTGCCCGAAAAACAAGCTTAGTACCATCACTGCATAACTGAATTTCCTTTAAAAAAATCTATGACAGGGAAAATTTCCAGATGGGAAAGAGGTTCCAGTCAAAAGTTTTTCAAGGACATCAGGTCAAGGGCTTGTGCAATTCAAGAATGAGCTTATACTAATTGCCAAAGTTCAGCACACAAATCTAGTTCGAGTTATAGGATGTTGTATTCATGGAGATGAAAAAATGTTAATATATGAGTACATGCCCAACAAGAGCTTGGACTTATTCCTCTTTGGTTTTTTATTATTCCAAAAAAAAGACGTAATCATCAAGTAGTTTTCGAGAATTTTGATGAAATGCTTTCTGTCTTTGGCAAATCCTGAAAGAAAGAAGCTACTGGATTGGCAGAAACGTTTGACATTATTGAAGGAATTTCACAAGGATTGCTCTATATTCACAAATACTAAATAATGAGAGTGATACATAGGGATCTTAAAGCTAGTAATGTGCTCTTGGATAAAAACGTGAATCCCAAGATAGTTGATTTTGATTTTGCAAGAATTTTCAAACAATTCGAGACGGAGGCAGTGACTCGCAGGGTTGTAGGAACATAGTCAGTTAAGCGTGTGTTATTTCTTGATATCAATTCACAAAACATGTAGAATATTCATACTGATTGAGTAGGAAATTTCTGTCTTTACACAGTGGTTACATGGCTCTCGAGTTCGCCATGGATGGAGCATTCTCAATCAAGTCTGATGTCTTCAGTTTTGGAGTCTTAATGCTTGAAATTGTGAGTGGTCATACAACTACTAGCTTAAAACAATTTGATCGTGCACTCAACTTAATAGTTTATGTATGTTTTCTTGACACCCTTTTTAAGTTTAAGTATTAACATTACGAAATTTGAGATAATTGATCATTCTGGATTAGGCGTGGGAACTATGGAAGGAAGGGTGTGCATTGGAATTGAAGGATCCAGCTCTTGATGATCTGTGTGACACTACACTGTTATTACGAGTTATTCATGTCGGAACTATTATGTGTACAAGAAGGTGCAACAGATAGGCCAACAATGTCTGATGTTATCTCAATGCTTGGTAATGAAAGTATGGCAATGCCTCCTGTGAAACAACCAACATTTTTCACAAGAAGAAATGAAGCTGAATCAAATTCATTTGGAACCAAAGCAGAACAATGTTCGGTTAATGATTTGTCCATCACTGTCCTTGAAGCAAGATAAGACTTCTGACACATTCTGTTGCTATAATTGTATTGCAGATAGATCATCACTTAAGTTTCATCTGCTCATTGTGCAAAACACAATAATTATACCAGATAAACATGTGCCCTTATGGTATGAATCAGTTAACTTTTATTGTGAAATGACCTGCATCTATAATCCATCTGCATTGACAATAATCAAATCAACTACAAAAAAGTTAATACATATGTCATTATATATGTTAATGGTGCCATGTGTAGATATTTAATGATATTCACAGCAGCACTAAGATTTGAAACTTAAACATCTGAAAGACATGCTGGTTTTATCATGTGCTAGTTAAATTTGAAAGTTAATGACATTAGTCAACTTTAATAATATCTATTTTGAAGGTCTAAAAGCTAATTCAATCTGCTTCTGAAATATTAGGACTTGGGAATAACAAGATAGGCTCCGTGTGTCGATCAGCTTAGCTTCTCATTCTTTGCTTATGCTCCTTTAAATTCTCGAATGATCTTCCTCAAATCCTCATTAATCACCAAAAGATCAAATAAACAAATACAACTTGCATTTTAGATCTGATTTATAATCGAATAATTAAATAGGTAGGATTCTAATGTTTATGGTGTTAGGAGGTAAAAATTGGTGAGTGTATCAACAATGCAGCGGGTTCAGTGACTGCATCATAGGCTAAACCTCTTTTTCAACTTTGGTACTCAGGTAATAGTAGCTCAAGTTATCTAAGTTTTTAGTTACTAAAATCAGATTAGCTTCAGATGAGAACTTAAGGACAAAATGAGCTACTTAAGTCACTCATAGCAGTAGAGATTGTATACGGTCTAAACCGGGCTTGCCCTTTTTGTCAGACAGATCAAGGACGGAGCACGATAAGTCAGGATCGGCTTTGATTTATGACGAACTATGGCCGGGGATGGATTGCTAAGCACATGAATTAATGCCCGAACAAGATCGAGACCTACCGTGATTGAGACCGAAGTGGGATAGAGGTCGAGCGAGGTCGAAGGGAGCCAGCTAAGACGCATAAAAGAAAGCCGAGATATTCGTGACCAGGCAAGGATCATGGCGGAAATCTCGGCATGTATCACATCAAGACAGGTTATTTAGCCTATCATGGGATTTTCTTCTGTAGTTAAAATTGTACCATAAATAGAATTACTCTACTATATAAAGAGGGTTCTAATCATTTTGTAATGATATATTCATGCATCACCAAGCAATACATTACACTTTTTTCCTCTCGCAAGCTCTATTGTTCAGTTCATACTTTTCAATAGCATATCCAGTCAGTTCGAGGGCAATTTAGCTTGAGGGCCACAGTTGTTCATCATATTGGTTTGCCTTATTTTACTGCTAATTTCTAACATTAATTCTCAAATTTATCTGTTTTTGCTATGTGAAATCACATATCCTTAAAACCACTTATAAGTTTAATTGTTATCCAATTTTAAGGGTAAAGAGATTGGCGCCCACCATGGGGCTAAGGATAATAGTGATTGCCTGGTACAATTTTTATAACACACACTATTTTACGCTTGTTCTTTGAAGTGTCTTTGATTCCAGGATCAACATGTCAAACTCTCAAGTAGCACCTATACACACAGACAATGGCCCTGGTTTCCATGGAGAGAACGACAACATAGACTCCCAAGGAAACGGAGTACCTACAATCAACCTCGATGGCGTGGACCCAATCGACGTTAGCTCCTTATTGCCATAATGAGAATTTGGTCATCGAACCTGAGAATAGCATCCTCAGAGATGCTCGAACGACCAATTAGAATGCACAGGGCGATGAAGAAGGGGGGATTAGCCTTCGAAAGATATTCGAAATGATGCAGACTCAACGAGTTGCAATAGCACAACTCCAAAATCAAAATCGTTCACCAAGAAGGATCGAGCTCGTGCCATCACAAGAAATTGTTCATAAAGCTGAATCGCTGCCAAAGAGATCGAATGGAGGAGAGTCGGAGACCAACCCTGCTATCGTAGGAATGCTCAAAGAACTGACAAAGAGAATCGAGACAGGAGAAAAGAAGATCAAGGAAAACGATAATAAGGTGGAAACTTATAACTCCAGGGTCGACCAAATCCCGGGGGCACCACCAATATTGAAAGGACTAGATTCCAAAAAGTTTGTGCAAAAACCTTTTCCCCCGAGTGTGGCTCCGAAGCCAATGCCTAAGAAATTCCGTAAGCCCAAAAATTCAAAATATAACGGGACGACAGATCCAAACGAACATGTCACCTCATACACGTGCGCCATCAAGGGGACTGACTTGGAACATGACCAGATTGAATCTGCATTGCTGTAGAAATTCGGGGAGACTCTATCAAGGATAACACTATTCATTCATTTGTTATGCTTGCAGATTTTTTGGTAAAGGGACACGATGGAGCCATTAAAGTTGCTACAAGAAAATCGGACCTTTTCAACGTAAGGCAGAAAGACAACAAGATGCTCAAGGAATTTGTATCTCGATTCCAAATGGAATGAATGGATTTTCCATCGCTCACCGACGATTGGGCCGTTCAAGTTTTTACTCAATGTCTCAATGCTCGGAGTTCCATAGCTTCAGAGCAGTTGAAGAAGAATTTGATCGAATATCCAGCTGTCACATAGGCCGATGTGCATAATCGGTATTAGTCAAATATCAGGGTTGAGGATGATAAACTAGGGGCTCCAATTGGGTCGGTTTATCCTAACAGGCCCGTGGATAGAGTTAAAAGGGACTTCGACCAGGAACCACGGTCAAATAGAGACCGATATCAGCCAAATGGTGGTCATAGAAGAAATAACGAGCCTGGACGCAACTCCATTCGTAATTATAGAAGGAATGTTTGGTCCAAAGAAGCACCTCAATTGTTAGAATATAGCTTCAATGTGGATGCTTCCACCATAGTATCAGCCATCAGACATACCTTGATCCACTACTGTACAGATAGCGTTTTCTGCTGCGGCTTTTTGTTCCTCTTCTTGTACCTTTGAATCCAGAAGTACCGGCGGAGGACCAAGAAACTACTCGAACCCGTACATCTGTAACAGTGACAATGGTATTATTGAAACTTGCTTGAACATGAATAACTCGCTTTGGTATTCTACGTGCACCCTTACGTGAACCAATACGTCTATGCGAACTAATTTTCGGTATAGCTTTTGCCATATTTTATCATCTCGTAAATATGAATCAGAGATATATGGATATATCCATTTCATGTCCAAACAGATTCTTTATTTGTACATCGGCTCTTCTGGCAAGTCTGATTATCCCTGTCTTTGTTTATGTCTCAAGTTGGAACAAATTACTATAATTCGTCCAACAAAGATACCAGGTGGCCTTTACCTCTTCAGATCGATCCGTCCCAGAGAAATCCAAACCAATATGCAAGTATCATAGTACCCATGTCCATAAAATAGAAGTTTGCAGACATTTATGGGAGGAAGTAGCCTAATTGTTCAACGAGGGGCACCTTCGAGAATTCTTAAGTTATCGGGCCAAATACCACTTCAAAAACAAAGACTCAAACAGACAGAACGATCAAGAAATGCCACAATACGTGATCCACATAATCGTTAGAGGAGTCGATATAATTTAAACGCACCAAGGTGACGATCACAAGGGAAAAGCGAACATGGGACTACTTACCGGAAGAGACCTTGTCTTTCAATGACGAAGATGTAGAAGGGATCAAACAACCTCACAACGACGTACTGATAATATATGTCCTTATGAATAAAATTCAATTTAAACATGTTTGGATTGATCCAAGCAGCTCGGCCAACATTATTCGAACGAGGGTGTAGAACAGCTCGGCCTATAAGATCAAATTATGCCCGCAGCCTGAGAACTTAACGGCTTCAACATGGGGAGCGAAACTACCAATGTGAGATTATTTTGCCAGTGAACGTGGTCGAGACCATCCAGGAAACAAAGTTCCATGTAATCAAGGGTGACATAAGGTACAACGCCTTGCTCGGAAGGCCTTAGATCTATAATATGACAGCAGTACCCTCGACCCTTCACCAAGTTCTGAAGTTCCCGACATCTGAAGGAGTCAAAACAGTGTACGGGGAGCAGCCCGCCGCCAAGGAGATGCTTGCAATCTACGAAGTGATGCCGGTGTCGGCACTTTCTTCAGTAAAGGGATCGAATTCAAAGGGAAAATAGGAGGGAAAATAGCAACCACATACACCAGTCTCGACCCAATCGGAAAAGCGAGGGACTGACGATGACGACGACTATGGGATACCTCGACCATTCATAATTCCTGATGACTCCAATGCCACCAAATCAATGGTCGAAGATCTGGAACAAGTCATACTGGAAAAACATCAGCCCGAATGACAGATATACAGGGGCACGGGGCAAACCCCCGAGCTTAGGAAGAAACTTATTCATTCTCTTAAAGCTAAAATGAATTGCTTTTCTTGGTACCACCTCGACATGACAAGGATCCCGCCGGAAATTACCACTCACAAGCTGAGCATGGACCCTAAATTTCGCCCAATGAAGCAAAAAAGAAGGCGCCAGTCCGAGATTAAGCATGCCTTCATCAAGGACGGGGTAACCAAACTTCTCAAAATAGGATCTGTTAGGGAAGTAAAGTATCTTGAATGGCTAGCAAACGTAGTGGTAGTCCCTAAAAAGGGAAACAAACTTAGAATGTGTGTAGATTATAAAGACCTGAATAAAACATGCCCCAGTGAATCTTTTCCTTTTCCTAACATCGATCGTATGATTGATGCCATGGCCGGCCACGAGACTCTCAGTTTTACAAATGAACCCGGACGACCAGGAAAAGACTTCATTCATCACAAAGTATGGCACCTACTGTTACAACGTAATGCCATTCGGACTAAAAAAGCTGGTGTAACCTACCAACGCCTAGTAAATCGAATGTTTGAAGAACAAATAGGTAAATCTATGGAAGTTTATATTGATGAAATGCTAGTTAAGTCCCTTTGAACAGAGGACCATTTAAAGCATTTGTAGGAGACCTTCGAAATATTGAGGAAGTACAATATGAGGCTTAACCCAGAAAACTGCACGTTCGGCGTTGGCTCGGGCATGTTTCGTGGCTTCATGGTGTCCAATCGGGGTATCGAGATCACCCCCGATAAAATCAAAGCTATCAAGGATATCACGGTCGTAGATAATGTAAAGGTCGTACAGAGGCTAACGGCGCAGCCGCCCAAGGACGATTCATTTCGAGGTCCTCAGATAGGAGTCACCGATTCTTCTCTCTCCTTAAGTAGAAGAGAAATTTTGCATGGACTCCGAAATGCCAGTAGGCCTTGGAAGAACTAAAGCGATATTTATCGAGCACACTACTACTTCATACCCGGAAAGTGGACGAACAACTCTACTTGTACTTGGCGGTCTCGGAGATAGCGTTAAGTGGAGTCCTGGTCCGAGGAGAACAAGGTATGCAATTCCCTATCTATTATGTTAGTTTGACCTTAGGTGAGGCCGAAACTAGATATCCGCACTAAGAAAAATTAGTGCTTTCTTTAATAAGAGCCTCTAGGAAACTAAACCCATATTTCCAGTGTCATCAAACAACAACAACTCAGAATAATCCCAATCAGTGGGGATGGGCTTTGAAAAAGATCCACGGCATAACTGACAAAGCTTTTTCCATATGGCCTTATGGCCACAAGTTTGTACCATAAAGATAGAAATTTGGAAGAGGATGTAGAGAAGGGAAAGGGCCAAATGCTGTTGGAAAAAGTTTTAATGAAGTTTGGATCAAGTAACCCCCATTTAAAGGACGACGGTAGCGTGACCGATGGCGTAATCAATACCTCTAGGGAAGCATAACAGATGACGTAATCAATGCCTCTGGGAAGCATAACTGATAGCATAATCAATGCCTTTGAGGAACGGATCGACAGCGTAATCAATGCCTTTGGGGAAACGGATTGATGGCGCAATAATTGCCTTTTTGATAAATAAACCGACAGTATAATCAATGCTTTCAGGGAGACGGACTGATATGATGCTTTCAGTCACTTGGAACACTGACATCACGAGCATGACATCATCACGAGAGGTTCGAGGAGTTCAAGGTCAAAATCGTTTCTTATCATTTTACTCTAAGAAACGCGGGGACTATCTGTATACGGTTAAAATCAGAGAGTCCGATTTTGTAGTCATTATGACACTTCATAAGCCCGTACCCAGAAGGCTCGAGGCGCAGCTCGAGGCTCGACCACGAGGGTTCTCAATAATCGACCTCGGGGCAGTGTAAATCAGTGGCTATGGTGGACAAACGAGAAGTTCCCAAGACACGTGGTTAAAGCTGACCAAGTCTATTAGGCTAGTACAAGCCCCTACCATATCATTAAATGGCCGTGCCAGTCGTATATCTTTGTAATAAATGCATCTGTACCTTGTTGGGATTCCCCCTCATATATAAAGGGGATCCTTATCATTTTGCAACACATGATATTCAATACTAGAACAAGAACATTCTCTGCTCTCCAACTTAAAACACATTCTCCCTTGATTTTATTGCTAACATTTAATACATTGCTTACATTTATCGTGTTTCATTGATTGTTCTTCATTTATTACTTATCATTGATCATAAAGAGACATCATCAAAGTTTTTAGAACTGTTAGTCCTTCATCGGCTATACACAGTCCAATGCTTTAGCTCGACCTCGAGGCCCTGTATAGGCTTGATCGAGACCCCGACTCTCGACCACTCAGTTTGCTTGTCACGCTATCATCAAGCTCTTATCTTATTTTCTAGTATCACACTTAACATCTACCGCCTCACAACTAGCATAAAAATAAATCACGTATTTTTAGAACCACAAAATCAAATCTAATTGTAATATAACTTTCAAGGTAAACACTAATCTTTTGTAATTCATGAAATCCCCCCTTTTGAAGGCCCAAATGTCATCCTTTATCTATCACAGTTACGCCAGGGCAGCATTCCATATATTCTAAATGCTACTAGTCTTAGACTCCTTTGAGTTCATTCAGGCTATACTGATCTTTCTATAACTTAGAGAAACCATCAGCTCTCTTATTTTCATGGGCTTAATCTAGAGCACTTATCCATTCTCATCACCTTCTCACTCACATTTTCTTATCCTTACTCCTGTCTTCCTAAAACCTTGTCGCTCTACCATACTTTAGCTTGCGACCTACACATATCTATTTGTACGTATTTGCAACCTTCCTTCAACTTGCTTGCACCATAGATTTTCTTATGTTATTTTGGAACATCAAGAGAGACATCAAATCGTCACACCACTTTTGTCAAAGCTGCTGAAAGAGAAGAAAATCCCTTTACATGTATCGTGTAATAACCTGCCAAACTGAGAAATATACGAACCTCCCTGGGTGTCGTAGGTCTAGGTCAAGTATTTACTGCCTCAATCTCTTGGGTATTAACTCGGATACCTTCACTTGAAATAATATGCCAAAGGAAAGCTACAGAATTCAAGAAGAATTCACATTTAGAGAATTTTGCATACAACTTCCCTTTTTGTAGAACTTTGAGCACAGTATGCAAATGATCTGGGTGCTCAGCCTCTTAACGAGAGTACACCAATATACCATAAAATAATACAATGACGAATAGATCTAGAAAGGGTCTGAACACTCAGTTCATCAAGTCCATGAATACTGCTGGGGCATTAGTCAAACCGAATGACTTGACACGAAACTCAAAGTTCCCATATCTGGTCCTTAATGCTGTCTGCGCGATATCTTTCTCCTTAACCCTTACCTGATGGTACCCGGACCTCACGTCTATCTTCGAGAAACACTTGGCACCTTGAAATTCATCAAATAAATCATCAATCCTCGGGAATGGGTACTTATTCTTGATCGTCATCTTATTCAACTGTCTATAATCAATACACATCCGCAAGAAACCATCTTTCTTCCTCACAAATAACACAGGTGCTCCCATGGTGATGTACTAGGTCTGATAAGGCCTTTTTCAAGCAAGTCCCTTAGTTGTTCCTTCAACTCTCTGAGCTCTGCATGTGCCATTCTATAGGGTGGAATAGATATTAGGTGAATACCTGGTAATAGGTCAATAGCAAACTCAATCTCTTACTCTGGCAGGAGACCCGAAAGTTTATCGAAAAAATAAACATCGGTAAACTCATTAACCACAGGGACAGATTGAACGGTTG